AGACAGGATGTCAGTCCATAGTTAGCATTATGAAAGAAAAACTTAAGAAAAGCGCTGAAATGAGCGAAGCCCTAACACAGCAACGGGGGACCCAAGTTGCCTTGAGGGAAAGTGTATGGGAGCGCAACCCAAATAACGCCTGTCGTACCCTGACAGCGCATCTATCGTGCGGAGGCGACCATACCAATGTGTTTGTGAACATCGTAATTGTAAGACGCCATTTCAGGAGCCCTATGCACAAAGAATCTCCACTCATATTCTCATTAATTACTAAAAGAATATTGGTATATTGCAGTCGTCGACAACCCAGGGGCATCTGCACCGTCCGTGCAGGACTGGCCGCCGCCGCGTTTCGTCATGTATTCTTCTTAAAAGCACAGTTGTACAGCAAGTACTTTGGTCGGTGACTTGGCCACATACTTGAGAAGGAAAGTGACCACACATTTCTTCTCCCTCCCTCTCTCTCTCTCTCAGCACAGCAATTGGTTTGCTTGTTGGGTAAAAACAACCCGAATTCGATCGCTGGAGCAAAAAGTTCATTTGCACAACTTTTCGGATTCTGAACTGCTTCCTGGATCTCACCTAATCGGTTCTATCGGCAAACTCAGGGTGGTTATATCAACCGCATGGAGCAAGGCAGGGGAAGGTGGGGGGCAAGGGAACAGTAATTAGCTTCATTAGAATGCGCGAATCAGCATTCAGCAGCCTCAGTCTCCCCTCAGCCGCCGAGGGCGAGAGTCGTGGCTCTGTGTAATTGCATGACCTCTGGCCAGCAATTTGTAAACATGCCCCCCTCGTCACAGGCTCCCGTGGCGCCAGACACAACCACCCCCTTCACGATTGAAGATTACTCTAAGGGTGGGAGCGGGGAGAATGGAGCGGTTATTAACATCCTTGGGAATGCGGGCGATAACTGGGCTATTATCACCATTGCCTCGACTACCTCAACCGACAGCAATCAGGGGGGCAAGTTACAGGTCACGCTGTGGGTGCGAAAACACCAATTAGCCCGTGTGTCTCCAACGCTGCCAGATGATCCCTGACTAATATGTCGGAACTAGCAATTGCACCGTGGGTTTTCAAAGCAGGATGGCGACGGACGACATGGCGAGTCCTCCACAGGATAGCTAGAGAACTAATAGTAACGCCCTCGTACAGTCCGCCGTGATACTCTCTGTTGATGAATCACAAGGGAAGGGCGAAACCGACTGAATACTTCGTCACGGAGAGCAAGTCATAAAAGCACGGTGGAATGTCAACTATCCTCCAGCTGTCGGGTGCACGTTGACCTAACTGAGTGCGAATCACCTATTTCAAATAGTAATTGCCCACCTGTCTCTCACAGCTGCGACATGCTGATAAAAAGTGTAAAGCAACAATAAGAATAAGACTGATTATCGCATCATTAATACTGAATACAGATTACGCTGGCTGGCCACCTCGAAAATGCCACTGAAATTCAAAGTCACTGTTGCACATCCTCTCTACCTCTGCATTTAAAGTCGAATTTGAAGTCTGATTGTAGTGGAGGTCAACCTCCAATTTCAAAAACAGAGGTCTACTGAGGAGAGGTACGAGTTGAAAAACGGATGCCTTCTTTGGAACTACGGGAGGGAATTTACATCGGAGGTTTTCGAAGCAATTTACGGCGACATATGGTAATTCTCTTTTGGTTTCTTATCCACTGTTGATAACCCATGTGAAATTAAATTATTTCCGCCCTTGTACTGCAGCTTGGGGGCTAATTTCCACTATCCTCCTAAATACATAAAGGCTTGTTTACTTTGCTGACTTGAACGTAAACTACATCAAGTTAAGTAAGCGCGTCACCCTCTTTGTTCTGATTAGGACATTGTTCGATTCTATTCTGTCCACCCGCTAGACTGCTACTGGCGAAAACGAACGTTATGGGCAAATGCTATTGCCGGCTTATTAGTCGTCGTCAGCCAGTTATAC